AAGACCACCTTCAGACCCCGCGCAAGTAAGAGTCTGTGTGTGTGTGTGTGTGTGTGTGTCTGATTCGGTGGGGGTGGGAGGGGCGACCCATCCCCCACCAATCAATCAATCAATCAATCAATCAATCAATCAATCAATCAAAAAAAAAAAGAAAAAAAAATCTATCTGTTTTGAGTCTCGTTTTGTTTTTGATTTTTTAAAAATAATTTTAATGCTCAAAAATAAAAATAAAAATATGGGGATGTAGAGAGCAAAAAAATCTACACCCCCATATTTTTTTATTTGTTTTTCACATGTGTTTTACCTGCAAAAACAAAATCCGCGGGCCAAGTTGTACCACGTTCAGCTCGGTTTAACGCGGAGTTGCTACGGGAGTTGAATGGGAGTTGAACCGTTCAACTCAAAACCCCCGTTGAATCCAATTTCGGACACATAGGTTCTGATTTGTTCACATCGTTTTCCTCCTCTTCTTCTTCTTTCTCCTCCTCGTTCCCCTCTTCCTCCTCCTCGTCCTCATCTTCCACTTCTTCTTCCTCCTCCTCCTCCTCTTCCTCCTCCTCATCCTCGTCGTCTACTTCTTCTTCCTCCTCCTCCTCGTCCTCTTTCTCCTCCTCCTCCTCCTCATCTTCCTCCTTCTACTCCTCGTCCTCGTCTTCGACTTCCTTTTCTTCCTCCTCCTCCTCCTCGTCCTGCTCCTCCCCCCCCCCCTCCTCATTATCGCCATGCTCTCCTCTCTCCTCGTCGATCTCGGCCCTTCCTCCTCGTCTTCCACCTATTCCTCCCCATCCTCCTCATCATCGCCATGCTCTCCTTCCTCCTCGTCCTCTTCTTCATTCTCCTTGTCCTCGTCTTCTACTTCTTCTTCTTCCTCCTCCATTACCTCCTCCTCCTCCGCGACTCTGTGGAGGCTCGCCTCGACCCCCCTCACCTGCCGCCTTGCCCCCCCGACCCTTTTTTCTTGTCTTTTTAAACCTATCAATCAATCAATCAAAAAAAAAAAAAAAAAAAAAATCTCCAATCGATTCTATTGGATCTTGATTTTAAAATCAAGATCCAATCGAATCGATTCATTCAATTGAATATCAAGATCCAGTCGAATCGATCGATTCGATTGGATACTTTTTTTTTTTTTTTTTTTTAATTGATTAATTGATCCCTTCTTTCTTTTTTAAATCGATCAATCAATCAATCAATCAATCAAAAAAGAAAATATCCAATCGAACAAATCGATTCGGTTGGATCTTGATTTCAAAATCAAGATCCAATCGAATCGATTGGATACTTGTTTTTTCGTTTCTTTTTTTGATTGGTTGATTGATTTGATTTGATTGATTGATTGATTGATTTGATTGATTGATTGATTGATCGATTGATCGATTGATTGATTGATTGATTGATTGATTGATTGATTGATTGATTCATCGATTGATTGGTTGATTAAAAAAAAAAAAAAGTGGGTCACCTCGTTCGTATATAGATGTGCAAATCGATTCGGCGGAGGAGGATGAGGAGGAGAGGGAGGACGAGCAGTTGGAGAGGAGGGGGGAGGAGGTGGACAGGGAAGAGGAAGAGGACAAAGAAGAGGCGGAGGAGGACGAGGAGAATAGGGAGGATGAGGAGGGGTAGGAGAGGAGGAGGGAGGAGGGAGGAGGTGGACAAGGAGGAGGAGGAGGCAAAAGGGGGGACAGGGGAGAAGGGCGCCGGCTGGGAGAAGGAAAGGGTCAAGGAGGAGGAGGAAGAGGAGAAAAATGAGGAGGAAAGGGCCGATGCTGGCGAGGAGGAGGAGGAGGAGGAGGAGGAGGATGACGAGGAGGAGGACGCAGAAGAGGAGGAGGAGGAGGAAGAGAACGAGGATGACGAGAGGGAGGAGGACGAAGAAGAGGCGGAGGAGGACTAAGAGGAAAGGAAGGAGAAGGAGGAGGGGAGGAGGAGGGAGGAGGTGGACAGACAGGAGGAGGTGGCAAAAGGTGGGAAGAGGTGAACGAGGATGCGCGCAAACATTTTTTTTTTTGATATTTTTTAGAGCTCTTTTAATGTCCATCCGGATTTCCGGATAAACCAGATGCCGAATGATAAGGCCGGATATTCCGGTCACTTAATCTGACCAACATTGTTGTGCTACCCAACATTATTGATTACCAAGGTTCTTCCCATCAAGGAGTCCGATGTGTGTTGGTCTTTCCATTGTGTTAGTTTTTCCAGCACCGGATGCGTCAGTCATTCATCATTCGATGGGGGGCGGCCCTCGGCGGATGTTTGTACCTCTAAGACTCTGATAGGCGAGTTGGTTGGTACCCACCTTATTTTAGGGGTCTCTGGTGGTCTGCACCCTTGGTAGTGGATCCATCATCCTTTGGTCTTACTACCCAATGTACGTTCATGTCTGACAGGGTGCAGAAACGGTTCATCAACAACTGGATTTCCTTTATGTTTTTAGGTGAGGCATCCAGCATGAGAGTGAGGTCATCCGCAAACAGAGAGCAAATCAGAACTGCCACTTCCGACATAGAGGAGACCCGTATTCGCTGAATTTTTTGGTGTAGTCTCAAGTTCGTTGCGAGAATCTCCATGATTATGACAAAAAAGAAAGGGGCAATCGGGTCCTCTTGGCGTACAGAACGTTACAAATCAATAAGGGGGGGCAATCTCCCATTTACGTGCACCCTTGTTGTGGAGCTACCATGGAGGATCCTCTGAAAGAAGGACCAAAATTTGGTTTCTCTAGACACTTATCCAGAAAAAAACAGTCAACATGGTCATAAGCTTTTTCAAAGTCGATAAAGATTATGGTCGCGTTGTGTTTAGATTGTCGTGACAACTTTATCACCTCAATTATCAAGAGAATATTATCCTGTATTTTCTTGGCGTTGATAAAACTTGTTTGTGACGGATAGATAATGTCTTCCATCACTTGAATCATCCGATTCGCAAGGGCCTTCGCCACCATTTTATATACTATTGTTAATAAGGTGATAGGTCGATAGTGTCGGATGTTAGTTTTTCCACCTTTCTTATACAGGAGGGATAACACCCCTTGCCCCACCACCTCCCCCATTTGACCAGACTCCCAAATTGCGCGGTAGTAGTCCATGACGTCGTGTGATAGGGGGTTCCACATAGACTCCCAAAATTCCTTCGGCAGTCCATCAATGTCTGTGGTTGTTTCTTCCTCCATCTGAATAAGGGCCGTCCAAACTTTCGCCTTTTCGAGGGGTTTGTCTAATCGTGACTCTAATATTTCTTTCTGCTCATCCGAGAGACAACACCTCAAGGGCTAAAAAAATTATCAATCTCTCTTTTCCTCTGCTCCTTGGGTCTGGTTTTTCAACCTGATTTAAATAGGTCTTGATACTTCGTGCGATGTGTACACATTGTGGAGTGGAGGTGGCCAACTGGTCATGTTCTTGAGATAGGTCGGTTAAGGCCTCTATAACAGTTCTCCCTGTTCTTGTCTTTGTCATAACAAAGAAACGAGAGTCCATTGTCTCCTCAATTTTATGCTTTCGTTGCTTCCCTCTGATACGTGCACCTTGTCATCGGTGTTTCATGCTGGCTATTATACGGGAATCTAACGATTGAATAACACTAATCAGTTCTTCTGACTCACAATTTCCAGTTTCTTCTTGTTTCCTTAGTTGATTTAACTGATGCTCAAATGCCATTTCATCGAAAAATCGTTGGGCTGCTAAGGCTTTTGAAAATTCATTACATTTCTTTGCTACAAAAATCAATCAATTATTGAAGCATTGAATATTATCGCCAATTGTCGGCCTGTGATTTTGCCAGTATGCCTAAGATTCTTTAATCTGCGTTTGAAAATTTGGAAGTGCCAACAAGGATGTATTTAGCTTGTAATAGTCAGACCCTTGATCGGGTTTTTTTCGGAGTGACAATATCACTACAGACATTGCATGGTCCATTGGTCCAACCCATGATATGGGCTTTGTGGAAAATTTTCTACAATCTGCAATGCCCTCTCCATATCTTCCGAGATAAGAATCAAGTCAATTCGAGATCCTTTGCGACCCATTTTTCCGAAAACATGGAAAAAAAAAAAGTTCAAAAACACGTTTTTCCAGGTACGATCTGCGGAAAGTGTCATACAACCTTAATGACTTACAAATATTTGTTATCATGTGTTCATCTGTTTCGATATACTAGGACACGGGGATGGGATTTTCCACTTGTCCAGTCATCGGTCTGGGCAACATTGAAGTCTCTTGCCAATATGATCGGGACTGTGAAACCGCACGCTGATTGAGGGCGGGGTCGGAGCTCAAATTTTTTAGCTCCGCTCAATCCCGCGCTCAAAAGCGCTTGAGTGGGGTTTGAGCGGGCTCGGGAGTATTGTTTTCCCCGGAAAACAATAAGCAAAAGAAAAAATAAAAAATACAGGGTTGTAGATATTTTTGACATCTACAACCTTGTATTTTTTATTTTATTTTTTGAAGTTTTTTTGTATTTAAAAAAAATGAAAAACATAAACGGAAAAAAAAAAAACATGAAATAGGTGGGTTTTTCTTTTTTTGCACAGAGATTTTTTTGCAGGCAAAAAATTAACAAAAAAAATAATAAAAAATATAGTCTTGTAGATATTTTGGAGATCTACGACCCCATATTTTTGTTTGTATTTTTTCAAAGTTCGTATATGTTAAAAAAAAGCGAAAAACATAAAAACGAGAAAAAAGACACTCACAGACCCCGCCGAGCCCGGGCCTGCCCACACACACACACATGAACACATATACACACACGAGCACACACACACACACACACATACACACACACATAGACACA